AAATGAATATCTGAATTGAACAAATGACATAAACTAGTCAGCCTAAAAGTTGTTGCGATATACTACAAAAAAAGCCGAAAAATCTCAGAAGACGGCGGCACTTTATAATAGTTGTAGAGACTCCCCTCTGAACAGTGTAACAAGATTACCCCTTCATGTGCAACGTATATAAACTTGGCTGTTCTTGATTACTTAGAAGTTGAGTTTGTGCTGTTTTCATTGGCTCTTCGACCGGCGTTCCACACTTAGTAGGTTGTGCAGAGCCCGTAGAAATACATGGTAACAGTGGGTTGCGTCCTAGCAGCGTTGAACCTTCTGTGACATAGTACGGCCCGAGAATAATAAGCAATTGGCATGTAAAGCAACAGCTAGTCGTCTATCACGAGGATTATATAAATCTTGATTATGATCACTTAAGATTTAATCCCCATAGATTTGAGAATTAAAATTCACCGGTCACCGATAATAGTTTGTCACAGGCTATATATTAATTAGTTTAATATTTACCTCAGATAAACAATGATTTTTATATTTGTCAACACAATATTAACAGTTTAATTGTTAATGTGATGATTTGAAAAGTTTACTTCTTACTACTGATTATTCAATAATTGGTATATCGGAGAATTATATATATGATAAGCGTCTACCTTTGACACAAAAACAAAATCAACGCCCCAAGATGTGTGGTGGCTTCATATATTCACGATAAAATTAAATATATAGATAGAAATGATTTAGGCTTAACTAGAATTGTCTATGCATCATTATTTATTGCATTCAGTTACCCGGACTGCAACAATTCTTGGTATAATTCATACATCATCTGGTAAATCAATTGGTGTCTTCAAACTTGAACTTGATAACAAATTACATACAATTGACAGTAAACTATGCTTTAATATCGATTCGCCAAAAGACTGATAACAAATCTACTAATCTCAGATTGTGTTTCATTCATCCTTTTTACCCGGCCATTATTAGGTCAACTCGTGACTACGACAAAGCACTTGGTAAAACAGATATGATATGTGAAGAAAGAAAAACCTGTGATGAAATCGTGATTTTTCGATCCAACAACAGACGAAAAAGTAGCTATAAATGAAAATGAAATCTTGCATATTCAATGTTACATTACTATGAAATGAAGTATTCAGATCCAGAGTACTGTAGCTGCTACTGGAGTGTTGACGTGCCATGGACGAAACTCTAATGGGCCAGTCTGTGCCAGCAATACTACAGATAAGACTATTATTTTGAGATATTGAGACTTTATTGGAAAGGTCTATGTACTGACCGAAACAGAACTCGATCATAACCTAAACTCCTGAGGCTAGTAATAAGTTAAGTTGAATGTTGTAATTAATTAAACAAATAACATTGCGGTTCTTTTATTATTTATTTCATGTGTGACTAGAAACGTTCAAATGACATGGATAATTAAATTTCCTAATTAATCAACCAAATTTAGGATGGACATGCGATTGACATAATTATTCAAACGAGATTAATCATCACTCATCAGCGTAGAATCAATTTCACGAGTCATTTAACAATCTTTTTGAGTTACTAACTTACAGCCCTAAGTTAATCCGCATTATATAAGTTTATTTATTCCTGATATGCCTCTCCCCATTCGTGCTCATATACTTTTTCATGTCACCAAATGTTCTACTAGAATCTTTGTTAAAAAAAACTATTTATTAGTTAATTAGATATTTATAAACCTTTCATGTGTTGTCGCCTCTTCTCAGTTTTAAGGTAGCAACATAGATTAAAATTAAGTACGCAACTATAACTACCTATATATCATAGAAGGTTTGAATATAGGCGAATCAGTCACAATCAACGTCCTGTGCAACTCACATAAAATAAAATATACATAGACCGCCAAGTAATTCTTTAGACAAACATTATTACGATATATGCACTATCATATTCGATCATAAGCTTTCAGATGATACATGGGTTGTTATAGAAGCATGCTTTTAGAGAAATTTTAGAGAATGTATGAATTACAATATTTAACACATGTCACCCCTGTTGCTACCTTAATGACGGTATAGTATTATGGGATGGCAAGGCGTAGGTGGGCGTGAGTTATTTTTGCGTGCAGATAACGAATGGAGAGGGAGAAATGCTTTGAGATTGACGTCACTCTTCTATTAAATTGGAATAACCCATTTGAGCCGTTGGACGACAGGAAATCGAGGTAACGCGCTGCAAGGTACTATGAGCTGCCGATACTTCAGTGTTTTTCATGCAAACGAATAATGACATGCGCAACAATTAGAATTTTCAGCGCTTTCTGCGCATAAACAGATAGTGAAGTCATCGTTTCTGTAAATGTAAAGGTTTTGAGAACAATTTAAAAAAAGCACATGTACACATTGCTATCGGCATGGTCAGTGCAATGTGATTAGTCAGTACCAATTGCGTTTGAATAGCGTGCGTCCAGAATGCTATTTCTCTCTAGATAGATTCAATGTGAAAATAAAAAATAAACAATACAGTCAAAGAAAATTATTCAAATCATTAGAATTTCAGATCTTCGTACAAAAATGCTTTAGGTGCCTCGTCGAAGTGTTTCAAGCCGGATAGTGTACTTGCGGTCAATGTCTGAGCTATTGCACTTCCATCATATACTATACATAAACATACAGGGTTGTGAAGTGCGAAAGTCGTTGTAGAGCCATCACAAATAATGTGCTGCTGTGTAGAGGCGTTTCTTCGTTATGTGATAAAAAAAATGACAGCTTTATTAAGACATAATTACAATTTATTGATTATGTGCCAACAAATATATAAACAATTCTTCAATATTATGATATACATATCACAAAAATCGATTAAAAAACCAAAATATAACGTATTCAATAAAGTCCAAACCTGAAAAAGCCATCGTCAATAAATGACAATGAATACAAAATGTTACATGTAAAATTGCAATCCCTCAACTCAGAACGATCTCATTGTGAGGTGGGTGTGCATCAATACGACATAAAATTGTCACACTTCATGATAGGTTGTACGTTCATTTTTACACCAAGTGGCACATTACAATTGTGTTAGCGAGAAATACGTGATCTACGAAAAAGTGTATAAAACGGTGGGTAAAGCTTGTATAATATGAAAATGCATCTCAAACATTCTAAATAATCACTCGATTGGTACAATGAAAATTCCAACTAACAATGTAACTGTGTTATTATAGCACATTGGATTCATTTGAATAATTAATTCCACATGCTTGTTTTGGTTACAGAAACCATAATTTATTAGAAATGTCACAGGATTGCAGCAATAGAACCCCCTGATAGCACCATTCTGGGCCTCTCGCCAAGATATGTTGAATCTGAGTTGATACATGGTATACGACCGGGGACAGAAAGCTTACTGTGCCCTCTGTATACACGCTGTGAATGTGGACACGTGGCGTTAGAAATGATGTTTTGTTATTTACTGCCATAGCTTATTTTGGTGGCAGATATTTCTAATGTTTGGTTTGCTAGCGAGTGAGAACTGATTTGAGAACAATCTCGATTTGCATATTGTCAATCAAAGGTCCCGTTATTTGCTTACGCATGCAAATTAGGCAACTGGACATAAACATTGCCACGTGTGAGTG